GCCACTGGGCGGGTCTGCGCCCCTCCTCCTCGCGGCCACCTCCTCGTCCTGCTCTTTGTCCTCCGGCATCCAGATTCCTCGGGCACAGCCGGGCGGGGACCCAGCATGCTGGCCGCGGCGACCTGGGAGTGCCCGGCCTGCCCAGCGAGGCTCCGGCTGTGCCAGGCCTTCCCCGGTAAGCAGGCCGTTCTCGCCTGGGCCGCTGCTCGCCAGCGCGCCTGCTGCAAACCCTAGAGCTCCTCCGAGGCTTGGCTCAGCCGTCCTTCTGTGCTCCGTGTTCGTGTGGCTCCAGGGCTCGGGGACGCGGCTTGTACGTGTTCTGATGGTTTGGCTTCGCGTTCCAGTCTTTCTCCTCCCTCCTGCATAGGGGGCTGCAACCCAGGCCCTCAAGCTGCTGGGCAGGCGGGCACCCCCGAGCGCGGGCCCCGTCCTGCTGCTCACATCTTGCTCCCTCACAAACGGAGCTGCGGAAGTGTTTTCGGGTAGGGCCTAGCGGCACACAGCTGCAGCCCCCCAGCCCGCCCTTCAGGGGGCCGCTTGCTTCTCAGGGTCGCCTTGGAGGGTCTGGGGTGGCCCTGGGGTGTGGGGTGGCCTCCCCACATCTGCTTGAATTCTAGGGTTTGCTTCTCAGCATCCAGAAGTGCAGGCTACGTTCTATAAACTTCTGCACATAATGCCCATCATTGTTTTGTGAACTATACTTTTGTGTTCTGCAGTTTTCATTTTTTCCATAAACACGTCCTCCCAAGCACGCTCCCCAGCCCCTGTCATCCCCATGGGTTTTAATGACCTAACAATCCTCAACGCCCTGCATGCACCGCGGATTGTTTAGCCCTTGGCACCGTTCTGAGCGACTGGGTCTGTGGCTTTTTCCCTGGAGACAGGGACACGGTGCCGTTTCAAGCTCAGACCCAGAAAACAGAAAAGTAAACTGGATTTGTCAGTGCTTTAAAACTCAGATGTGAATGTGCTGTGTGGCCCGTAGTGACCTGCCATGTATCTGGAGCCCTGGGGAGTATTGACGGGGTCGGGGAGCGAGGGTTTTAGCTCAGCAGGGGGTTTTCATTTTGGGCCGGGAGCTGTGTGCGAAGTTGTGACTGAGCGCACCGCTTACCGTCTGGAGAAACATTTCCCAAATAGGGCGAAGCCTTGGAGGTGGAGGTGGACACCTCCCTGAGCTCAGGGTACCGCCCTGGACGGCGGAGAGGTGTGCGTGCGCAGGAAGGAGCCTGTGGCCCGTGATTCGGACAGCAGCAGACCCCAGGCGGAGGAGCCGAAACCGTCTACTACACCGCGGGCACTAGCAGCTCACAGCTTGCGCGCGGCTGGCTGCGCCGTAACTGTAGCGTGGGCCTCGTTCATCTGCTGAGAAATCTGAAAGCCCCAAGATGCCACCTGGTCAGTTTGTCTTGGTCACCGCCTGGTCAGGGGAGTTTGAAAGTTATCTTCTCAGACTGCTGCTGCCAGGCGTAGATAGGTAGGTACTTCTCTGGTTAGACGTATGCCTGATAATAAAAATAAAACCAAAGTAGGAGTTGAGTTAACTAGAATGGGCACAGTCTTGCTGGAGTGATGGGAAGTTCTAACTCTGGACTGTGATGCTGCGTGTACAACTGTTTGCTAAAAAGCAAATTGTGGGTTGGGGGCTGGGGATTTAGCTCAGCGGCACAGCGCCGGCCTGGCAGGCGTGAGGTCATGAGTCCCGGTACTGGGAAAAAGAAAACCTAAAAAGCAAATTGTTTCCTGGCGTGGTGGTGCACACCTGTAATCCCAGCACTGGGGAGGCTGAGGGAGGAGTTGGAGGCCAGTGTGGGCTACATGGTAAGTTCAAGGCCAGCCGGGGCTACACCGTGGGACCTTGTCGCCAAAAAAATAAAAAGCACATTGTACACTTACAATGAATACGTTTATTCACTGTTCAGTTCCATGCTCTAATTAGTTGTAATGCTTCACACAGCCACAGAATGTCAGCAAAGACAAACAGGAGGGATTTTTCGATAAGCCGTTTTCCTAGAGAGGATGCTGGCGCCCACCGCCAGGTGGACCTGCCTTGGGCTGCAGAAATTGCCTTGCTCGGGGCCCCAAGCGCTTGAAGTTCTCAACCACCGGAATCGGGTGCCAGGAAGAAGAAAATATTTTCAAGTGTTGGCAGAAGCCAGTCAGGAATGATGGAACCTATCAAATCGTTTTATCCTTTGTACACACAGTAAGAAAATCTCACACTATAATTTTCAGTACATGAGTTAGAAATTCACTGTTATCAAGAATAGTAAAATTATTTAAGACTAGTTTTAGGTTATTTATGCATGTTAACATATTTTATAAACTTTGATTTTTTATAACATATTTCACATCTAAAGCTATTTTCATATTATATCCCCCAGATTTATTAAGGCATAATTGACAAATAGTTTAAAAGATCCTTTTTATTTGTATTTTTTACTAGGGAATGAACCCAGGGCTTTAGCGCTGAGCTACATCTCCAGTCCGTTTTTAATTTTTATTTTGGACAAGGTCTCACTATATTGCGCAGGCTCAGCTCAGACTTGCAGCTCTCCTGCCTCAGCCCAGAGTATCTGGGAATGCGGGCTTATGAGCTGGTGCCCAGCACGCCTGCAGTCCAGCACTCAAGAGGCCAAAGCAGGGGCATCACCGTGACTTCAAGGCCAGCCTGGGCTACACAGCGAGACCCTGTCTCAAAAAAAGAGTTCATTTTAAAATATAATCTGTAAAAAGTTCAATCTAATTCCCTGTTAGGAAAAAAAAAAGTAAAACTTTTCAAATAACTAGTTAACATGGAAAAATCTTCTGAAAGAAGGATAGTCCCTGTCACTTTACTTTTTCAAAAACTTTAAGGGTAGTAAAAATCGGGTAAGGGGAGTAGCCCTTCAGATACACACTGACAGACAGCCGCAGCCGTCTCTGGGCCGGCAAAACCTGAAGACCTGCTGAGGCCGGGAAGGACAGAGGACACTCACGCTGCAAGTGTCGCCAGTCACAGTGTAATCACGCATATAAATAATGACAGGAGACATTTGCCCAAAGTAAGTCTTCACGTGTCAGAATCTCAGCCTGGGCTGAGACGTCCAAGCAGACACTGCTCCCTTAGCAGCGGCCTCGGCGACGCGGTCAGCAGCGACCCTGGAAAGGCTGCGAGGACCTGAAGGGCAGTTGCAGGTCGGGTTAGTGGCCGACTACGGAGGATCCCGGAACTGCTCCAGGGAGAGCATAGTCCTTGGAAGTTCGGCTGTCAACTGTTTCTTCACGGTAGCACCACACATCAAGGTCACGCTGGAGAAAACGGGGCAGAAGGGCTCAGGCCTGGCCAGAGTGACACAAGTGGTTAACAGAAAGCTGGATCCGGACCAGAACTAAGTGTTCCTGCTCTGGGCTGCGAGTTCTCTACTAAACAGGCGTCCTTCGTGCTGCCCTCCAACTGTCGCCAGCGCTGGCTTCGGCTGCTGCATTCTGTGGGTGGGCTTTTAAAGGACAGGTGATCAGCCGGGCGCAGGGGCACGCACCTGTCGTCCCAGCTGCTGGGGAGGCTGAGGCTGTGACCATGTCTGACTCTTTTAAAACCCAGGTTGAAAGACAGCAGGGTTTAAATACCAGCTGCACCAGAAGGAGCATTTGAATAATTAATGATAGTGAAAAATGCTTTGATGTTTTGGGCCATATGGAGAATTGAACCCAAGGAGCACTGAGCTACATCTGAGTCCTTTTGTTTTAATTAATTAATTAATAAATCAACTATTTTTTAAACAGTACGTAGTCAGGTTGGCCTTGAACTCACTATGTAGCCAAGGCTGGCCTCACAGCAATCCTCCTGCCTCAGCCTCCCTTGGGAAAGTGCTGGAATTACAGGCATGCACCACCATGCCCAGCTCTTTTGTTTTGAGATAGTCCCACTAAGTAGCCCAACCTGGCCTCAGACATGCCATCATCGTTCCTCAGTCTCCAGAGGAGCTAGGACTACAGGTGCGCTGGGAGTTTTTGCTGGCCCAGCTACAAAGGGAGTTTTTCGTAATGTGCTTTGGTGACTGAATCTGTGCCAGCGGTGCCACTGTCCCTAAAGATTTTCTGCAGAGCCCCCACGGCAGCTCAGTCTCTTTACTCTCTGTCACTACACTGGGCTTCCTGTTCCTAAACACCCTGGTATACCCGCTTCCCCCTGCACCACAGCTGCCATGAAGTCATGTTTCTTGACTAGAAAGCCAAATGAACCCTTGAAAAGGTAGATTTGGTTTCCACCCATCAAGATCCCAACACCGGCAAAATCCAGCTGGGTTGTACCAATTCAGACATCGCAATAAAGGGATGAAAGAAACCAGGTAAACAGTGTGAACTAGATCTGCCTGGAAAACCCACATCGCCCCAAAGCTCTGACTTTTGAGACACTGAATGTATTTTAACACTGGCTGGGAAGTGGAGAAAAGGAGGAAGAGTTCAGAGAAGTAGGTAGATATGTGAATGTTTTCAAGTAAATTAACATTGACATGGATTAATGTTCTAAAATCAAGAGTTTCAAACATTCCCTTATTCTAACTCGGTATCGTCTCAAAAGTCCCTGCACTTAAATGGTTCAAAGATGTAGAACCTAATGATGGTTGCTCTGTTACTAATTTAACCTCTGGGAAATGACCCACAATGCCACATCTCTAGTTATGTTTTCCTGAGATGAGTCAAATGACAACCTGGACATCTTTTTTTTTTTTTTTTCCTGGACATCTTCTAAGCAGCAAGAGACAGTGTATTTTTTTTTTTTTTTCTTTTGGTACCAGGTGTATTTTTTAAAATAGGAAAATATCCTTGCTCTCCCACATAAGTGAGGCTTCTTTTCCAGGTATCCTCAGTGAGTTCTGAGCTAGGATTCTGCTCAGTCTGCTCCCTGTGGAGCCAGATTCTGATAATGAGTTAAGAATGCAACTGAACACTGGCCGTAGTTTTATACAAGTCATACACAAGACTTTTCCCTGTGTCTCATTTCCCACTTTGTTCTAACGACCCAAAACAACCAGTTAGAAGTGATTAAAGCAAAACTGGAGCTGAATGATTCATTTTGAAGTCACTCATTTGTTAAAAATATATGACTTGGAGTAACTTATGAAGTTCCTGTATCAGATAGTGTTTCCACTTGCAAGTAACTGTGTGCCTGTACACCCTTGGGGCAGTCTA